GTAATTTCAGATGATACACATCAAGAAACTGAGACTGCAATTCTACTTTATACCACTGAATGACTGAATGACTTCCTACCTGCAATAGCATCTTGAATGAAAATGAAGTGTGCGATGATGTTTTTTCGTAAGGTAAATGGACTGTTTTAACGACATAGATAGTCGCCACGAGAAGAATGGCTGCCGTCGCGAGCAGAAAGAGGAACGCAGGCGAATCGCCGAGACGTGCCGAAAATTGAGTCCAAGATGCAGTTGTTTGGTTTTGGTTACGACATCGGATATAGACCTGTAGGGCAAAGCGCCGTTCACAACAACTTATATGTTTGTTGTCTGAACTTATTGCGAAAGCCTTTGCTGTGATTTGGAGTGCAGAGAACTCTTTGTTCGTGTGTCTGTCTGTACTGGCCCACGTTTCTCTCAGACGGCAACTTCAATTTACTTCAAACTGTGCACCTAGCATCAGCATAGGTAGGAACTTTTCGCGTGTTGACCTCCGTAAATTTCGCGCTTTAACACAGAAATTTCGTGATTTTTCGCAAATTGGACCAAAATGCCATATTTTCACCCCAAATGCTTGGTTTTCGGCTTTTAAGGATGTTAAAGTGGTTGCGTGACACGATTACTTATCATTCCCTACTATTTGGTGTATTTGATGTGATTTTAGAGGCATGAACCAGGAAATAGATAGTAAAACCTGAATTTACATTATTGCTGCAGAAACAAAAAATACTTTATTCAAAATCAAATTCTTGTAAAACATGAACAAGTAGTAGTAAGTTTTAAATGCCACATGTACACTCTGTTAAAAAGAAAAGACTAGTGAAGTAATGCTAATGTTCACGGGAAATATTAAATTTCTTAATTTTATACAAATCTTCAGCTTCTCCTTCAAGATCTTCAAATTCAAAGTCATTTTCCAGGTTCATATCTATTTGGTCGCGCTCATGGTAATTGTATTCATTAGTGTTAAAGTATGGTGAGGTTTTCGGCGTTTGCGGGCTTCAGCTTCCGGCGGCGGTCGTTGACAACGATCTTGTAGCTGGAGATTGACCTTTCCGTGTTTGCATTCGATGGAAGGATCCACAGCGCTTTAAAGCAAAGGAAAGGTGGCTACCCTACAGAACGCACAGCAGCCTAACTACATCGACGCTTTTGCAGCCCGGGCTGCTCAACTCCCTCTTCACAAGATCCATGAGAGCTGCCTGGCCTTCCATGAAATCTTTACAGCTCAGCTTCCTGATAAATGGCAGTTTCCTCATATGGTCCCGCACATTTTTTGCAGGAAGTTGAGTGAGACCCTGTGATCGAGGGCTCAGCAGAGCCTCCATACTGAGAAAGAACTCCCTGGCAGAGTCAGATCTGCAGTACTTGACCAGAGGAGCATCTCTGAAGACCTGAGCTGCATTTTGGAGAACAGTTATATGGCCCCCCCTCACTGCACTTGGCAGTTTGGACAAAACAGGCAATTCATTCTCAAACCAACCAGTTCTCTCACTGATGATGAGTGCCATTTTTCTTTCAATGATGTCTAATTTCTGATATACAACATGGCCTTTTTGCTTTGCAGTTGTTTTATAACTGTCTCCACTCCAGCCCCTTCAACTTCAACAAATTCTGCATAAACTTTTATTTTGTCAATTTCTTGCCTGCTGAGCTCTTGTAGCCACCTGATGCTCACACTTGTTCTGCCTGCAACCACATCATTTTCTTCGAAGTTGTGATCATCTGTAGGAGCATGGTTTTCTGGGAACAGCAAGATGTCATCTAGGTGTTCTTCCAGGTAATTCACTGCTTTTTTCCAGGAGTTCCATCTGGTTATTATAGGGGAGGGAAATGCTTTCCATTTGGCCTTGTTGTCTGGGTACTTCTCTTGCAAAAACGTCAAGTAATTATTTTTTGTCTTTTCCTAGCATTTAGAAACACTTTCTTGACATGTTTCACAGCAAGGTTGAGTTCAGGCAGGGTTGTTTGGAAAGTATTACCCACATGATGCAACTTATGGGGCCAGCATTGAATATGTAGAAGTTCTTCATGCAAACCCTGCAAAGTCTGAAAGCATTTTGTCATGTATCTAGCAGAGTCAGCATTAAATGCAGTCACATCTCCAATATTTTTTTCATATCTCTGCAAAGTTTCCATGACAGCTCTTGCACAGTTCTCAGCATTTGCAGCATCAAGCACAGTAGAAGATACAAGGCAGAGCTTTTGTTGTGGGGCTGGGTCTAGAGTCTGGAATATTATGTTGTATACACATCTGCCACCCTTGTCAGTGGTTTCATGACAGTAGATGCTGATTTCTTTTCCCCTGAGTTCTTCTCTTATCTTATTTTCATGTATCTTTGCTATTTCAGGGATGTAAGTTTCCCTAGGGACTTTGGACACTGGGAGATCCCCCACCCCCACTCCCTTTAATGTACTTAGACATCCAGTTTCTTATTGCCTGAAAATGAAATGTTCATCAATCAATTATTGTAATTTTCTGATTATAGGTCGACTTGTTATGTTTGTATGTTCTAATAATCCAAGAAAATGTTTTTATCAAAACTTAAATGGTTGTGATTGATTTTACTTACAGGATTGTTCAGCTTTAAAACTGGAATGTTAGCAAAGACAAAGGCATCTACAGTGTCCACTATGAATTGATGCTTCTCCTCCTTTCTGTGTTTAGCCCCGGTTACGGCGTCCTCAATAGTAATTTGCCTCGCCCGTTTCTTTTCAGGAGAATTCCAGTTCTCTTTAGCTGTTTTGTGGTCCAGCCCGTTAATGTGTTTAACAAAAGTGTCTTTCTTAGTCCACTCTACTCTTTTATTACAAAATTTACACATCATCTCATTCGGCTTTATGTGGTTAACCTCCATTCCCTCATCTTCAAAGTCCTTTACTCTAGACTGTAATGTCTTTGCTTTCGGAGGCATCTTTCTCCAACACTATTTCGACTTGTCACCACTTTCACACCACTTTAAACACCCCACGGACTTCCCGCACACTCGTTACGTAATATGATCGGTGCCTTTGCGCAGTACGACAGATTCGTTCTTGATCCAGCAGGTTAGCCAACTGCACACCGCCCGTAACGGACGAGAGAGACAGGGTGACCACGACGGGTGCGATCTGTTAGGTTGGCTAACCTAAAACACGCATTCAAACAAGCATTCGGACGAAAATATGGCATTTTCACTCACAATATCTGGATTTTGGTCAATTTCGCTGATTGAGCCCGATTTCGCTCCATGAGCCCCTACCCCCCACCCTATTTCCCGTTTTTTCGCGGGTTGTTTTCGAGCCTAAACGGTTCAATTCGTCCAGAACTGTTGTTAGATTATAATTTGGGAGTGTTTTAACAATTTTCGCTTTTTCGCAGCATGCGAAAAGTTCCTACCTCTGAGCATCAGTATACCCCTAACACTGAAAAAACAGAGGTGCTATCTTATACCTTTTACAGGCATTAGAGAAATAGAGCCTTTACAAAGGCGCGACTGGCCACTACAGGTGCTATTATTGGCAATTTTACTGCACACAGAATTGATCGAATGCCCTCTCGACGCTTTGAGACCTCTACTGCCCACCCCACACGCCTTCAAAGTCAAGGAACACGATAAAAAGGCGAATCATGAAATTGACCTGTTTTTGGATGTGACCCAAGTAAGACCCATTGGTCGGATCACTTCGAAATAATTATTCCGAGGGTCCCTAATGCTGACTGAAGCCGAAAACTCGCGCGATTAAGGTCTTACTCAAATAGGCTTGTTGGGAGACGAGACAAACTGTTTGTCAATTAAAATTGACAAAAGCTGTAAGGGCTTAGAAAATTTGGCGATTCCTAAAATGCGGGCCTTCTAATCAAAATTAATGTCATTCTGTCACAAATAAGCTAGTCAGTCCACCCGTCTAACTTTCTTCCACAGTAAACACGATAAACATCGATCACATTTGAAAACCCGTAGCATAAACTCTTACTTCAACATGTATTTTGTTACATTGAGTAACTAAGATTCGTTCGTGTTATTGAAGTAAGTTACGGGGTAGGTCCTTTTCTATGTAGGGCACTTCCAAGATGCGCTCTGAAAAATAATAAAGAACAACAAGCAGGCCCGCCCTTCCGCCAAACGGAGTTGCCAGTTCCGCTTCGCTCCACCGGGCCGGGCCTGCTTGGCCTGCCGGGGGCGACGTCGGCCCTGAGGCCCGACCATTTCTTTCACGCGATTTGCTGAACAACATTATCAAATGATGTAACGGGCCTTCGGCCTGCTAAAACCCTTCGACACGAGGAAGGGATGTAACGGTGAAGCACCGCGACTACAACCCACCCTTCTGCTTAGAAAACGTTTTTTTGGAATGGGGTGGGGAGTTTCTTTCCTCTTTTGCGGTTTTTAGGCCTTCCTGTACAACTTTTTGTTCACTACTGCAATTTTTAGCTTAATTTCGTCAAAAAAAAACCTCCAGCGCCTAAACGGTTAGAGATAGAGCCAAACGGACAAAATTTTTGTTCGGAGGGGTCTAATTTCACGAGTTACCCCTTTAATAGGCCATCTAATATTTTTTGGCCTTTCTTGTTTTCTTCGATACCCCCTTCCAGCAACTTAGGGGTGGTTGGCAGGATTTGCCGTAGGCGTTATGTTTTGTGGGAGTAAACCTTGAGATCCACTGAAAATTTGAAGTCTCTAGCACATCTCCTTCTTGTGGAACAGACAGACAGACACACAGACACGAGATCGTTTGCATAAGCCCGCTGGATAGCTTTTTCAAAGCAGAAGGGCGGGCTAAAAACAGTAGCCCACAGGGCTTAGAAAAAGACCGTCCTCTCATTCAGGCCACAAAGCATCCGCAGAGCTCACCGCGTAGCAGCGGCAGTGCGCCGCCGCACCACGCCACAGCTGAGATTAAGAATTCGCGCACTGGCTTTGCGGTCTGCTCAAGTAGAATGTCTATTTCCTGAGGGCTAATTATTTTGTCACAGTTTTTTTTTTTTTTTTATCGTTGGAGAGACCGCAATCTTATGAGTTCTGGCTTTTCATAAAGCAACCCTGAAAATCTTAGGTCACTATCTCGATCCATTCTCGAGTTATCGCCATTACAGACAGACGAACGCACAAACAAATAAACAGACGGACACGAACCTTTGTTCTCGCTAGAGTTATAAGCATCGTTGTCGTTCAGACAAATCAGCCAATAATCTTATACCTTATATAATCCTTAAATAAAACCTATATACATTCAGAAGTTACGACAGAGGCGAGTTGTAAGAACACCACATGTTTTCGCGCTTACCATCGCGGGGTCCATCAGGTATGCGGTGCTGGGACGCAGCAGGCGCATCCGCAGCGGGCTGTAGGTGTAAGGCGCCAGTGCCAGGTCAGTAGCCCCGCGCTGGAGCCGGCCGAGGCGTCCACTTAAGGTTCCATCGGGCAGCAGTGTGACAGAGTTGTCATCGGGCTCGCTTACCGACAGGGAGGCGCGGAAGTGGCGGAAGGAGGCAGCTGCCTCCAATATTCCTGGATGTGTACGAATCAAGTGAGAATAGGCGAGGGGTACCTCACGCGGAAACTTTGTGTACAGTACTGACCAGGGGTCCAAATCTTGTTATTTAGCAGCCTTTAACGTTATTTACAGAGTTAACGTTTGCTTGTAACTTTTAGTGTAGCCTTTTAAAATTTAATTAGGTATTCCACTCGTCCAACTTTTCTCCACACTACAATAAATATCGCTCATATTTGAAAATCCATGACTGTTGTGACTTTTACATAAGCAATGTGTTTTGTTTCGTTGAATAACTAACATTTGTTCGTGTCATGATAAGTTACGGAGCCCTGACAATTACCCAAAAGTCAATAGGACGACATTCCGCACAATCACACACATCCGAAAATGAAATTTCGTAGTTCCCACCTTATATTCAGGTACCAGAGGGTCAGAGTGAACACCCTTATGAGCAGTGTTGTGGGTTTACATTCCATTTCCTGCCTCAGGGGTCATGACGCAATATGAGCTGACAGAATTGGCCAACTCACAACGGTGACGGTGTTACACCCCGAACAACTGATGATAACTCTAACTATATGCAAAGCAACGCATCCGCGCAAGAATATCCTATCTGTTTTGCTGCCGCGAAAGACTATCCTATTTGTTTCGCTTTACCAAAAGACTCGCTTAACTCCCTATGTAAGTTTGGCTAGTCTTTAGGGGTAGCGAAACAGATAGGATAGTCTTTCGGGACAGCAAAACAGATATAGGATATTGTTGCACGGACGCGTCGAAAGGGCTTTTCGTAGTCGCTCTTTCGAAATGTGGCCAGTCTTCGCGCCATTTAATCGATTGGACAGAGCCAGATTCTCATTTTAAGGATGACAATGCCATACAATCATGTTTCACAAAATATTCCACTTACCCTTGAGAATGTTTGACTGCAGCGACAGTCTGTCCCTGGAGAGACGACACCTCTTGTTCGTCGCCCCCGCACTTAGATCAGCGCGCACCGTGCACCCTCCCAGGTCCCTGGGAACCGCATCGCTGAACAGGGACACGTTACGCAGCTCTTGCATGGCTGTCGTTGGGTCATGCAAACGTACGGTGGCTACGCGTCGCACGGCAAGAGTCCCCTGTCCGCAGAGGCCCGTCGTAACCTAACGTGGCATTAAGTCGACTCAGTTTACAGCACCTGGCCCCGGTTATCGACCGTCTGAAGAGCGCACCAAAAGTACAAAAGGGATCTTTGCAGGGATACGAGTGACCTGCATCAGTCCACAATTGGTACGCCCAGAAAATGGTTTCCTTCATGGAGGACCAAGGCACACTGGTAAAGCAGTCAGATGCCCTAGGAAGTAATCACTTACGAGGCAAAAATTTACATGGACGTTCACATGGGTATGTGAAGGAAATTTGTTACGGCACATGGCACATTTCACATGTAGTCGCATGGATATTTATGTTGCTCGTGATCGCATGCACCGTTCACATGCGTGTCGTAATATCAGCGCAGGAAGAATCGAACCCCTCTGACGTCCATATTCCAAGCAAAAAGGGTTCACTACTTTCTGCGCCTATAGTACATGTGCAACACTCATGGAAAGTGCCCGTGTGATTATTGTACAATAAGATAAAAACAAACATATATTTTAGTTTTCCTAGAAGTGTATCGTTATTCCCTCTCCATGTCCCCTGTCTGTTGTTCTTTACCTGCGAATCATACTGGTAACTTGTCATGTACTAATTTGGACTTACCTCGAGCTGATTCGAACCGGCGACCTTCGTATTGCAGCGCAACCACGTTATTCATTCAGCTAAGCCTCGCACTTCGCACCGTAAAAGCAATGTTTCATTTTCGAAGGAAAAAGGAAAAAACTTCGCGGGACTCCCTTGGTTTGAGGAAAGCTGCTCAGATTTCGAGGAAGTCTAAAAACAACTAATTTTGCCAGATATTAAAACACTTGACCTTATACTTCTATGTTTGCTAAGGCCAGCGTGCTTACATTAATTTCAACTTTACCTTGGACCTAGGCCGCCGGTCTTATGTTGCCCATATTTAAGGTGTATTTGATTTTGATATGACGCTGTTAGTCTTCTACTAAGGATGCCATTTTCTGGGCGTAGTACTAGCACTTGGAATATAACCTACTTGGAATGGGACGCACATGAAGATTTCAAGAGAATGGCGGTCCTGGTTTATCACTGCCGCAACTGCACGGACCGAGTGGCGAGCCCAAATCCCAGCCATAACTGCGACATGACCACCTTCCGATGATGCTGGGTACAGTTTCCGACAAACGCTCAGAATTTGTATATGAAAATAAAATAAAATTGGATACATCACGTGAAAACAGGACACAGTAATATTGAAATTTAATGTCCAAACAATCAACTAGGAAATGTGCTCCCAGAACAGTTTCGGAAATTGCTTATCCAAACAGTCTAGAAAAATTATTTTCAAAATATTTTGAATGTCCATTTATCAAATTTTCCTTAACCTTATGACTAACATTTCTATATTTACTAGTCACCCTCATCAGGGGCCACGGCGCGAAACACGCTGTAGACATGACTTTACCCTTACACATTACACAATCTGTCGAACATTATCTTAGTCGTATTCGCGTCTCTCGCGAACTCGCTTGAATTAAATTGATCCTGAGTAAAATTCTTTCACTAATGTGTCTTTGCCTCATTTTCTCAGGTTATTACATTTCTTACTCTTATTATTACTCTCTCACCCACTTTCTTGACCATTTTCTTACCGACTTTCTTACCCACTCTTTTCCCGACTCTCTTACTATTTTTTTTTAAATACCCGACTGTATTACCGACTCTCTTACTCGTTTTCTTACCTACTCTCTTACCCACTCTATTACCCTCGCTACTATCTATTCTTTCACCAACTCTCTTACGTACTACTACTGCGGCACAGACACCCATGCCTCTGTATCCTATTACTTTACAGCCTTAAAAGTTGGAGTTATAAGTTGTAACTCTTAATATAGCCGTTCTAAAATAAGTTAGTCATTAGACTTCTCTAACTTTTCTTCTCAGTATCAACGAAATATATATTCATCGTATATTTATCGTATCGGTCATAATTAAAAATTCCTACTTTAACTTAAACATGTTTTTTGTTACGTTTTGTTACTAACATTGGCTAGGTAAAAGTGAAGAATATTATTCCGTCTGACTGGAAAATAAAACTTTTTGTGTCTACGTGTCCGTCAGACTGCCTGTCGGCACAATAACTCGAGAACGAATTGAGCTAGTGACCTTAAATTTTCACGGTCGTTTTTCATAGTAAAAATGGGAGATCGAGTTCAAAGACCAGATCTCTAGCTCAAAAAATGACCTGCCGAAAGTATCAAAAGCCAAAAGCCAAAGGGCCCCCAAAAGCCTGCTTTGGAGGAGAGCAACTATGTTTTGCTCTGGTATTACAGAAGAGTGGAGAGCATGGACGAAAACTTCGTCCGTTCGGCTCTATCTCTCATTGTTTATGCGCTAGAGGGTGTTTTGAACAAAAATCGAAGACTCACAATCACAAAAGATCAACAATCAAAAACTTAAGTACAAGCAGAGTAGGAATAGGTTGCCAATCGGAAAACTGATGAAGAACTGCACCCCCGTTTTTGATCAAGGAATTCTACTTTGACGAGTTACCGTGTAGATAGTTAAAATATTTTATAAAGCAACATACTTTGGGACCTGTTGTTTATATTTTTGTTAAGGTCAACTTTGTAAGATAGAATGTTGAACTTTTAGCTCAATTTGTCTTTCTATGCTACAGAACGACACTGAAAATTGCAGGTCGGTTTCTCAATAGGGTATTTCACCTGACGAAAATCGGATCCACGGAAGAACAGCAGTTTTTCCTGGCCACTTTCCTCCTTTCAGCTGATAGGAGGATGCGGATGAAGTTCTCGGACCCGCCACTAGGGATCGACCGCCCTTGTCGCCAGTTCAAGAACTTCGCCGACGTCAGCCAACAAGTGCAAGGGAGGGAAGAGTTCATGAAGAACTGCTGTTCCTCTCTGGTTTGCGTCAGGTGAAATACCCTATTCGTTCTCGAGTTGTCGTGCCGACAGACGTACAGAGGGAAAGGAAAAAATCTTTTGCGATCAGACGGAGTAGACGGGTTGAGAGCGAAGTTTTCGTATTTGTGGTCGTTTGGGTAGTAAATTTTAACGTTTTAGGGGGCCTTTATCTCCTTTTCAACGAACCCGTTTCTACCACACGCACCGCGCGCGGGGGGCTAGAGCGTCATGTCACCGCGACCACCTGTTGGAGTGCAATTCCACATAACCTCAGTACCGCCAACAATCGACACTGTGCTCAAGGCCCCGCCCACCTTTGTTGAATGTACCCAAAATAGAGAGCGAAATGAAGCAAATTTCTAGAATGCCTTTTGGTGTTCAACCGGTCAACCGGGTTCAACCGAACTTTCTGCGGTGCCTATTTAATGTATAGAATAAGCCAATTTAAACACTGTTACATCCCGTACAACTGAAAATGATTACTTCTTTATTAACATTAGGATATATAATTTAGTTTTCATCATCAAGGGTTCGTTTCGCAGTTTACACGAAGTGTTAACGTTTTTGATTTTAGTAGGATTTCCCATAGAATGTCATTTTAAGTGAGGGCCGATTCGGCAGGGTCAAATCGTGTCCAAAAAATCAGCAACTATTTTGGAGTTTACTGCAATCCGAACTCGCTAGCGCCTACTGTAAATTGCTTACGAACAATAGGTTCGTAATGCAAACCAAAACCTTCGTAGCTAACGCTCATATATATATGAATGCTTACCGCAAAGTAAAAGAGTTGATGCACGTGTGGGCAGCACAACACTTGAAGCGGTTGCTAGAACGTGTTCCGGCGACCCTTCAAAGACATAGATGCACTGTTCCGACCTCGGCAGTGACACCTTCAGGGCAACAGTCATTCAAATATATTAGGCTGAGTAATAGCGAAGCACATTACTCCACTGACTGAAAAAGATTTATTCTGAATGTCTGTATGCGCGATATTATCGTTATTCGTATACCGTTATTATTAAAGAAGTCAAAAAAGGAATTTAGTTCCCACCTTTAAATTCCATATGGAATTTGTTATATTTCCAGACGGATTTCTATGGGTAAATTAGTACTGTTACTGGTAAATAGAAGGGAAAATACATTCGAGGAAATTCATTTGAAAACGGGCAGCTGGTTTTAGTTAAATGGGGGGGACTCTCATTGACCGACACGTAGGGGGTGTTCCTTAGGATACGTAGCAACAATTCTGGCTGGTGGGCAGCTATTTTCGAACTCAACAAATGACAGACCCCCACCCCCGAGGAAATTTTTTTTCACCACCCTCAGTTATAGGTCTTATTTTTGTGAAACCCATGCCGCAGGTCTTTTTTCGATATGTCGCACCGTTTGCCGTACAGGGGGAGGGCCGTTTTTGCGACCTTTCCCGAAATTATCAGATTTTGCGACTTCCCTTCAAAATTTCGACGAAAACCGAAGTGATAGTTGGAAAGAGGAAAAAAAAAGGAACAAAAAAGGTTCTTAAAAATTTTTTTTTGGAAAAAGTCCTAAAAAGTTATTAAAAGTTGAACATTTCAATTACAGTTTAAAAAATGAGTTGCTTGATAGAAAACGGCGTACTATGGCTTAAAAGATAGCTTGAAGTGTCCCCTAAACGAAACCACCAACGACAAAAAGTATTTTTTGTCGTTCTCGAGATATTCCATTTCGCGTGCACCTCTGCATGGTACTTAGTAGAGCTCCTTGGCCCCTGGCGCACCCCTGCTTCCCCCTCTCCATCTTGCGCCATGCACTGGCTCCAGACCTGGCTTTTG